TGTCAATTGCTTAGCTAGGAGTTGTGGCCATTTAAAAGCATCACACCACTTGAATTTGTCTTCACTCTTCCAAATACCCCTTTGATCATGTGATTCTTCTGTTCAAACCATTTAATAGTTCTCTTGACTATGGGTTAAAATTGAATAGTTCTCCTTTGCCTACAGATTAAACCCAAATTCCTTGTCCTTCCTTCCACCTCACCCTACAAAAACCAACCTATTTAGGGAAAAGAAAGGTGGGGTCGTTGAAACCCCAACATATTTAGGGAAGTGAAAGGTGGAGTGGTTCAAGCATCAACAATGAAATGGACACTACCCTAGCAGTTGAGTATTTCAAGATAAGACATGGTCCCTTTCCTCTATAACATTATTGAGAGAGTAATCGAAACACATTATCATCAGGTAAGTAATAGGTGCACCATTACAACAGTTCCTAGAGGAGTGTACTCAAAGTGGTCTGGAGGCCCCCGGCTGGCTAAAAGGGTTGGGTGGGGTTTCCTATAGGACCAGCCATGCAAACTCACCCTTGAACCAGTAAAGGATAGCAGGGAAAAACAGGAGGAAACTGTACAAAGGCTGGGTCCTCCTCCTGACAGACTGAGTAAGCAATGAAATTCCACGGTCTAGGGATGTTCTCAGCATCTCTAAGTTCTCATAAGGACTTACTGAAAGAATCTCTTCCTGTTTATGTCTCTTCTATTCTACCTCTACCTTCTAGTTTACCTCCCAAATCCCAAATGGGATCATTCTCATGATCCTTGACAAGACTAACTAAAAAATTCACACACAGAAAATACAGAAGTCTAATCAGGAAAAATACAGTCATCCCCAGGTACCTATGGGAAAATCAGTCCAGAATGCCCACAGACACCAAAATCCAAGGATGCTCAAGTCCCTTGTATAAAATGGTATATTTGCATATAACCTACCACATCCTTCCTTATACTTTAAATCATCTTAGCTTACTTATAATACCTACTATACTGTAAATGCTATGTAAACGGTTTTTATATCTTATTTTTAATTGGTATTATTTTTATTTTTTTCCTAAATATTTTTCATTTGTGGTTGGTTGAATCTGTTGATGCAGAAGCCACTGACTCACAAGGCCAGCTGAATAGAGAAATAAACCCAAATAGATTACAGTTTGGGAGGGTAGGACATCTTACTACTGGAGAAATATTTTAGTATTTGCCTCTTGATCTCTTTCACGCTAACTACGCTATGAAACCCTGGAGACTGGGATTTTATTTTTGTCACTTTATTTTGTTTAGTAGTCCCCAGGGCCTGTTCTGGGGCCTCACAGGCAGTGTAGATATAACAGGCACAGAGTAAATAATGGTTGAATAAATATCCTATACAAGCCCCATAAATTTACACGTTCCACCTTCTAAAGTGATTCCTACACCCACAAAATTGCAACACTTTGAAACTCCAAGATATAATCAATACAACTTTTAAAAACTGAAGTGTATTTAGAATATCTTGCAATAAAATTAGATGCAATGACAACAGAAAGCAAGTAAAACTGCCACTCCTCTGAAATAATACTAACTTGTCATTATTTGCAAACACAGCCAACACCTAATGACTGCTTTGTGTAAACATATAGTCAATAAGCGGAAAGGGAAGCATTTAGGTCCATAAATGTTTGTCTTTGACAAATATTTTATTCAACTCCTATTCCCAAAAATAAAATTCTACTTCCACTAGAAAACAAAGAAAGAATGACTAAATGCATAAACAAGAGAAACAAAACCACACGAGACCTAAAATCTTTTTAGCTTAACACATTTTTCATCTTCCATATTCATTATCATATTCATTCTTGGCTTCTAATAACCACTTATATCATTAATAATAATCACCCATATCATCAATCACTGGCGGTCTTGCTTTATGAACAATTTGTGCTCAATCCTGCCTAGTGATTTGGAAACTGGAATTCACTTTCCCCTAGAAACAATGTCATGAGTGCTGATGTGCCGCCCTGGCCAGCTCACTAGGATCGTCTTAACTCATAATGCAGGTGCCTTTCATACTGCTAACACTAATTCAAATCTATGATGTCCACTTTTGGCATCTGCCAATCTGCTTTCTGCAACACCCTCTTTCCATACTTAGGTGCCTCGAAATTCTCAACAGTGCTACTGCCCAAGCCTTAAAATGACGTACTCTTGGGCAGGGCGCGGTGGCTCACGCCTCTAATCCCAGCACTTTGGGAGGCCAAGGCGGGCGGATCACGAGATCACGACATCAAGACCATCTTGGCTAAGACGGAGAAACCCAGCCTCTACTAAAAATACAAAAAATAAGCCAGGCGTGGTGGTGGGTGCCTATAGTCCCAGTTACTTGGGAGGCTGAGGCAGGAGAATGGTGTGAACCCTAGAGGCGGAGCTTGCAGTGAGCAGAGATGGTGCCACTGCACTCCAGCCTGGGCAACAGAGTGACCCTCTGTCTCAAAAAAACAAAACAAAACAAAACAAAAAAAACCCAAAAAAACCCACTTACTCTTCCTTCCTCACTCCTTCTCTCAGCCAAACTCTGTGATTCTCAGCAAAGAAAGGAGCAAGATGAATTCATGAACTTATGATGAAGTGTACAGATAAGAGATGTTAAATATTCTGCCACAAAGTGGGAAACTGATGGAATCTGTGAATCCCTTTCTGCGTTACCATTAATTCCTGAAACGTGGTACTACCAAGTCAGTTAAATTTAGATACAAGAATTCAGAAAGCAACTCCTGGCACTTCAGTTGAATGCTACCATCCATCAAATGATTCTTAAAAAAGATCTGCAAATCTGCTGTAAACCTTCCATAGCCCACAAGTACTTAGGACAAAATCCTTTAGAACGACATTAACCATTGCACAATTACTGTGTTTTGTGAAAACAAATCAAAATACACAGTAACCAAAGTAAATCTGTATTTGATAGGCTTCTAAGCACTTTAACAGATTAAAAGTAAAAATTCACAGGCTATATGGAAGAAGATATTCCGTAGATTAAAGCAGTGATTTAAGGCAAATGGCCCAGTCTATCTAGGGATGCGCTCCCGGTGTCAGTGAGTTCAGGACGTGGCTACCTCACAGTGTTCACACTTCCACTACTTGCAAACTCTAAGTCATCAGAATCCTCAACTCAGAATCCTCAACGTCACCAACACGTCTGAGTGTCCCCAAGACCACATGTATGCTGTCCAGATTTCCTTCATTCAGTGACAGAAAACTGGCAACTGGAGTCCTAGAATGAATGGACATCCCTGGCACACCCAGTGCTTGTAAACTGAAGATTGCTTTTCACAACTGCAGCACCAAACTCTCCTCAGGACTGAGGAGTACATGTTTTCTATTTATAGTCCCTCAGAATTAAACATAAAAAAGAAAAGGAAGTGATCAGATACTAAGTATTAAATTTTCCCAAGGGGAAATTCACATAAAAATAATCCCCACCAGTGACATCAGCTACAGCACCAAAGAATGAGACAGAGAGAGAAGATTTGGATATTTCATACCTAAAAAAGAGGAATAGAAAATTGCCATTATAGGAAAAAATCAGAACTACCTATGTCTCCTTTACAATTATTCTCTGGGTTAAACTTTTTTCTTTGAATTAAATGAGGGCTGGGGAGTGACGGGGAAGAACCATAATCTCTTCAGTGCTTATGACTTCTAAAGTGTTACAGCCTTGTGCACACACACATCTACTATCCGTTTTTTATTTTTTTATTATTTTTTTTTTAAAAGAGAGTCTCACTCTGTCACCCAGGCTGGAGTTGCTCACTGCAAGCTCTGCCTCATGGGTTCACGCCATTCTCCTGCCTCAGACTCCCGAGTAGCTGGGACTACAGGCGCCCGCCACCATGCCCAGCTAATTTTTTTGTATTTTTAGTAGAGATGGGGTTTCACCATGGTCTCGTTCTCCTGACCTCGTGATCTGCCTGCCTGGGCCTCCCAAAGTGCTGGGATTACAAGCGTGAGCCACCGTGCCCAGCCTACAATCCATTTCTTAATATTTATGCATTTTATTTTAAATTCCGAATTTAAATTTTATATTGGAGTCATTTTGATTCTTCAAAAATGGGTTTTGAGTTGATTAGAGCTTCCCAATTAAAACGGTACAATTGAATATATTATACAGGCATGATATTTATAAGCAAATTCTACTTTTTCACATCATATTAACTTTAATACTGGATCATTACACAGAACATGATATATTTTAAAAATGAGAGTCAGCACTGTTCGATAACAGAATGACCAGGCACAGAAGGGAGATTCAGCCTCTGACAAGGTTGATAACAAGACCCTTTATACATCCGACGTGAACAAAGCAGCAGCTCATCTCAGAAGTCTGCTTTCCTTTTGTGAGCATAGTTTGAAACACATACACTAAAAACAGTATCAATTTTTATGCGGCTATGGTGGCGGGGGGAATCAGCATATCGTGTTAGCAATTTTCTGTGGAATCACATTAGTGTTTCATTGTGGTAGCCATATCACATTAAAATCTGTTTTTCTACTAAATGGCTTCCATTGTGTATTTAGTGAATCTGATATGGAAAATTGCTAATGCAATAAGAGTATCATAGAAGCTTTCCTGACTGTAGCTCAGCCACAATATTCAAGAGAAGCAGGCTCTCAACTGGGCTGAGGCGATTTCAGGCCTCGTAACAAGTCCTCAGCTCAGACTCAACACCAGCTTCTTGAAAGACGGACCTTATCCTATGGATGAAATGCTTTTACAGATTTTATCTCAGGAGGGACCAATGGTTCAGTGAAAAAATGTGCCATGTATTTGTTGTTAATTGATAGAGTACTATAAAGGGCACTGTGGTCCGCATTTAGGGAATAAAAAAGGTAGATGAAACAGTCCCTTCCTTCCTGGATCTTGTAAGGACGGTCTAAGGAGAAGAAATAAATTCGTCTATGAGTAACTTAATACAAGACAGACAAGAGTTGAAAAGGCAAAAAGCCACAGGAGCTTGAAGAAGGACATACCTGGGACCAGGGTCATCACAGAAAGTCCAGTGAAGGCAGCGCCTGAACAGGGCCTACAAGATAAAGAAGTCACATTCGAGGATGTGGTGGGAGGTGGGGAAGCTGGGAAGGCCTCAGCGTGGGGTGAAGGTGCACAGGACAGGGTATGCGTGGAAACTAGTATTCGCTATTTTAATTGCAGCATAAAATAGGGAAAGACTGGGAAGATAAGCCCGGAAAAGTGGTCTTGAGTCAGCCTAACACACAAGGAGGCCGACACTAAAGGAGAGCTGAATGTAAGTCAGGCAAGCGCGGCTGAGGTGTCACCTCATGGTTTTGGGGTAGGAAGTGTCAGGATGAAGACCATCAGGCAAGAAGAATATCCAGTTTTCATGGGTATAATGACTTCTAATGCTAACAGATCTCTTGAAATCCTAACAACTTTAGTTGACACAAGTTTCTTAAGAGACATAACTTACCGGAATATTTATTTTAAAAGGTTAGTTTATTACTAGGGGATAATTGTTTATTTTTTTAATGTCCTTACTTAGGACATGGACGTTCACCAGGATAATATGAAACACTGTGAAAATGCTCACACTATTGTAAGTACTCATGCATTTACTGTTTGCATTTTTTTTTTTTTTTGGCTTTAGAATAACTTTTCAACTCACTAGCAACAGTAACCAAGGAAATATAAATCCAATCGCCTAAAATTACAACTATTCGAGAAGATTCATGGTTTCAACGTACTGCTATATTTACTGCTTTATTCTGGACAGTTTCCCGTTTTTTAATTCCTCTCTAAGTGTCCAAAACAATATACAGAAAATCTGCACTAAGCTTCGTTAAAGCTTTAAAACTTAGCATAGTATGTTTGGCAAATCAGAAAAACCACGTATTTGTCATAACTTTTACCTTCCCTTAAATGAGAGTACATCCTGCGGATAAGGATTATTTCCCACATATTAAAGCAGAACATGATGAAACTGCTTTCTTATTTATTACAGAGGGAATGTCAGATATAATCTAGTTACCTTAATGCTATAGCGATCGCTTATGAAACACTATCCCTCCAGTTTGGCAATGCATATTGCACTCTCATTAATCAGAATTAAACTATTTGGAAAATATATTATTTTCATGCTGACATTGAATATTTTCATCTTCATGAAACAATTTTTGGACAGACTTTTTTCCCTCCGACTGACCACATGATCAGTAGAGATAAATAGTGCACCAGTTGTTTATTACGTATGGATATCTTTAGTAATGTTTCATTTAAAAAACAAAGCTCTTCTTTCTCATCCCATGTCTCGGGCAATCAGAGATGCAAGAGTTGACATCTGTGAATATTTTCTGATTACTCATTAACTAGGAAAATATAAGTTAAAAAAAGATTTTAAAAGGAGAAAAGCCAAATAGTTCATGTTGACTTTGAAAGACTGATGACAAAGATGTGGTAATTCTAAAGTACTTAGAGGTTTAACCCAAAATTTGTTTACGTCTTTGATTTTTAGTAAACACTGCAGATAAAAACGAGTTTGTTCAGATCAAGAGTATGTTGGCATTCCCTTAAGCATAGTTTGAAACCACAGAGCTCAAGCATAAAACAGCTCTGACAAAGATAACCAGTCAAGCATAAAAATGGGAGTTGGTTGTGTCAGAATACATTAAGAGGCCGAAGGCTGTCTGGTAGACAGCTGTCTTGCCATCAGTGAAGGTGACTATTACCACTAAAAGTTGTTTTTCGGATACAGTACTTGAAATTTGTGTCATCTTGTATTTAAAATGCTCCTTATTTATAAAGCGTCACATCCTTTTCTCATCTGAAGCCTCCTTGGATAACCACAAACCTAAAAGCAGTCTAAAACTGTGTTGATGCTTTCCTACAAGCACAGGGAAACTCATTTATTCTTTGTCAATTTGGAGTTGAGAATGTCTTTGGCTTTTATTTTAATGTCTTCTTAAATATAGATCACTATTTTTAAAATGTAAACATCCAAAGGCATTCCCTCACACTTGGAGGAATGCTAAGGCAGGAGATATGCTTGTAGTAGTCACATTTCACTTTCCCAGACGGATGCCACAAACGTTCCGCTCAGTTACTGCTTAGGAGGCAGCATTATTAAATGCCTCACGACTTTACGGTCAGCCTCCATGCTTCTTGCTAACCTACACTTCCAAAAGATCATCCAAGACATCTGGCAAGCCACCGAAATGGGACTAGTAAACTGGATCCATCCAAAGCACTCCACAGTGCCCTTGTGGGTGTGTATCTCACTGTGAACTACTGGGTAAACAATTTACATACAATTTTATCCCCAAACTCGATTTGTATCATTTGTAGGTTAGTTCTCAGGAGTACCCACTCCAGCCCAGAAATAAGTCAACGTAGTATTTCCAAACTATCATTTCAAATGTCCACGGTCAAGGGCGGGAGGAGGAAGGAATAGTAACGGGAAGACTTGTCAGCGATTAGCCATCCATAAAAATGCTTTCCCCGCGCTCCTTCCGATCACAAAGCTGGCGTCAGGCAGTCTCCTGTATCTGCTCCCCACCTCGCCCCCTCCCCTCTGCGGAGAGCTGGCATCGAGGGGCCGGCCAAGGAAAAGACAAACACCCGGGCTCCGACACAGTCCAAGCGCGAGCCCGGAGACACTTGAACAACATTCCTAACTTTTTTTTGCTCACTTCGCATGCCTCAAAGGTAAGCAAAGCAAAAAGCCTATGAAACAGAAGGCCAGCGAGGCCAATGCGGCGCTGGCGAGTTTAAAAGTGGCCCCCAAAGAGTCACAATGACGACCCCCGCCGCCCCCTCTGTCCGCTGTCCCCGCTCTCCAGCTACAGCAAGCGACTCCTCCGGCGCCCATCCTGGTCCCTGCCCACGCCCCGGGCCCCAGCTCCAGCCCGGCCGCCGCCCCCGCCGCAGGACGAGCATCCCCTGACAGGTCCCGGGCCGGCGGCGCGGGCGGATGCGGGCGCGAGGAAGGCGAGCGGCGCTGCGGCCAAGTCCCCGGAGCGGTCCTCTCCGGCCCCGCGCCCACCCCACCCTAGACAGGCCCCACCGAGAAGCACCGGGACGCCGAGCGCCAAGAGCCAAGCCACACGCTGAGGAGCCTCCCAGGCTGCCCCGAGGACGAACAACTTAGCCCTCCACTCAACGCGCTCACACGCACGCACACAAGCAGCGCGCAGCCGGGGAGGGCACGTCTTACCTGTCCCCGCGGTGCCACTCATCCCTCCCCCACCCAGGTCCGGCGCCCCCCACCCCGCCCCCGCGGTGGTCCCCCGGCCGCCCGCTCCGAGCGCCGCGCACTCACTGCCTGGCTGCGCGCGCCCAGCGCCTGCAGGGCCCGGCGGCGGCGGCGGCGGCGGCGGCGGCGGCGGCGGCGGCGGCGGGGAACAGCAGCACGGCAGCATGGCAACAGCGGCGGCGGAACCGAGACGCGGCTGCAGCAGCAGGCGGCGGCGGCGGGGACCGAGACAGCGGCTGCAGCGGCGGCGGCGGCGGCGGCGGCGGCCCCAGCCGGCGTCAGTCAGACTGGAGCCGCGAAGCCTCATCGCCCGTATTAGTGCGCCGACCTGGAAAGCGGCCAGGGAGCCCTGCTTGCGGCCCGCCCCCGCCCGCCGCCGCGCGCTCTGGCCACTCCGGGAACCGCGGAGGAGGGGGCTGCGCGGGCCCGGCGGGGGGCGGGAGCGAGGCCGGCCCCACGGCCACGTGCGCGGAAACTCGCGGCGCGGGGGTGGCGGGGGAGTGCACTTCGCAGCGGTCCGCAGCTGGGTTCCCGCCTCTTCCCCACCCCCAGCCCCGGGCTGCCCTCTCCGTCCTCCTGCGCGACCCCAGGCTCAGCCCCTACCGGAGATCCCGGCCTGCTGGGGGGGGTCCCGGGGTGGGGTGGGAGCCTTCTGCCTGCCTGGGTCGCCTCGCGTCTCTCTCCCACCCCACCTTTGAGATTTCTTGCCAGCACCTGGAGCCCGAAGCCTTAGAAGGGTTGTCAGCCCAACAAGAATATAGGATCACCCGCCCATCAGTCTGGAGACCCTTCTGAGCTGCTGTTTCTCGCATGTTTCTGGGCCCTGGTGGACTCTCACTTGCCCTGTTTGTTCCTGATTTGCTTTTCGGAGTAAGGGGATCCTGACCCCATTGACAGTGACAGAGCAACTGGGCTGCACTGGCATAGGCACAAGAAAATATAATCACTCTGGGGGTGAGTGGTGGTTGAAACGACTCATATAATTATGTGGATTGTAATTTGCTTACGCATATTTATTTGCTTAACAACCCAGCATGTGAGATATATTATCTAACCTAATAAAAGATACAAACTTATGGGCACACAGCAATGTTACTTAACAACTTTCTCGTCACGGCCTGGCTGCCCCCCCAAGTAGCCTGCCTCTTAAGGTCACTGTGGACTCCTGGAACCCACTCAGAAACGCCACTTAGGAGGAACCACTTCTTGATTCTCCATCAGCCCGTAGCTCCTCACAGAAAAGGCATTTGCTGCAGGGGTGGACGTGGAATAAAGCCACACAGGGCAGTTTTCAGTTTGCTCCTGTGTGCCCGAAAGTCATACCTCCAATAGGCCCCCATAGCAGCTCTGAAATATAAAGCAAGGCCTTAAATTTAACTACTTTTTCTAGTTCTCAAAGCACTGCACTTTCTTCATGGCAGATGATATTTTTGCATTATTATACCGTTGTAGTTGAATGGTGATTTGTTTAAAATAACATTTGCAGCAGAACCTTAAATACCATGACTTAACCTCAAAGTCGTCTTTCTACATTGGCCCAGATACCTCTGCTCCTGGCTACGTGTTGGGTTTGAGATCGTCCTGGGTGAGAAACACCAGGAAACAGCGGAACTGGTAAGGGCTACAGATTATATTTTAAGGATTATGCTGGTTGTGGATTTTATTGCCAGTAAACTAATTAGGTCCTCAGAATTGATACCTTGTGGCTCAAGTTTTTTTAAATTAAATTAAGAAAAGAAATGGCCCAATCACTATCTCAGTTTTCTTCTCCTATATGAGCATAATGCGGAGGACACAATGCAGACAAAGAAATTATAACCTCTGCAGCGCTGGCTCATGATTCTGGTATGGAGTCGTTTTCAGTTCGCGGAATTCTCTTGACTCTTGGCAGGCCTTTGATTTAGAGTATGTCTAGTCAGCTTTTTTCTGTACGTTCTCATTTACATACCAGGATATTTCTGCATGATGATGACTTTTTCCTGCCTAAACATTAGTCTGTCACTGATAGAATTCCTATCATGTGTTTCTCAAGGCTAGTACAGAAAGTTAATCCATTCCACTCAAGAATAGTAAGATCTGGTGAGTTCCAAGAAGGAGAAAGCACTTGGCCTAGTACAGAAGGCGCAGTGTTGACCCTCCATTTTACAGAAGCTGACTGTCCTGGTTAATGGAAAGCTAGACTTTGCTTTATCTGTGATTTCTTGATTGGCTGTGGTTTTACTGCTTAACAGAACTTCCACCAAAACATTCTGTTATGGGAATCATATGAGAGGAGAGACTCAGTCAGAGGTTGTGATTTGGTAGAACCGCCAGTGAAATTTTGGTTCAGGACCTCAAAACCACGGCAAAACTGAGATCTGTTTTCTGAAAGACGTTAAGGTCTTGGCCTAACATGAGCTCCCTCAGGCTATAAAACAGTGGTAGGAAGGGCGGCTTCCTTACCCCAAGAGAGTCCATTCGTTGCGTTTACCGTATACCCAACATAAAACCAGATTGTGGTCTTTGAAGCTGTCCCTGAAGTGACAGTGGAGAGAACCGGGCAGCCCAGAAGCCCCAGACATGGAGATTGATCCTGCAAGAGAAGGGAGTTCATCATGGCGGATGACCTAAAGCGATTCATGTATGAAATGTTGCCAAGTGTTGAAGGGCTCCATGCTATCGTGTCAGAGTTGGAGTACCTATTTTAAAGTGGCCAATGATAATGCTCCAGAGCATGCTTTGAGACCTGGTTTCTCGTCTACTTTTGCCCTTGCAACAGACCAAAGGAGCAAACTTGGACTTTCAAAAAATAAAAGTATCATCTGTTACTGTTACACCTACTAGGTGATTCAATTAAATCATTACCTTTGGTAGTGAGTTTCACAGCCAGCAGCGATGCCAATACAGGACTAATTGTCAGCCTAGAAAAGAAACGTACTCCATTCTTTGAAGAACTGAGACAAGTTGTGGAAGTTTCTTAATCGGACAATGGTTTCAATGTGTACCTTATCTTTATTATAACAACACAATACCGATCCAGCAATCTTCAGACCGCAGTACTTTTATCCATGTGCTCAAGAAACGGCCCCTTTTTCCAACTTGTACTGAAGAGCAAGCATATAGATAAAATTTATGGACAGATTGATTGTTATATTTTCTGGGGTAGGGTCTTTTCTTATTTAGTGAGATCTGGGGATACCACAAAAATGGCTCAGTCTGTCACAGCTCCCATGGAGGTAGTCCAGCCACCAAATATGGATGAGATTCTATTCCGTGGATCAGAATCAAACCGGTACATTGATCCACTTGAGCTATTAAGTGCTCTCTGTTGTACAATCTGCTCAGGCCTGCAGAATGATGCCGATTTTTTATTGCGAATAATAATGAGATATTTTTCTTCAGATTATGTTTTATTTGTTCGCATTGAGTGCGAGGAACGTAAAATGGCTTAGTAAAAGCAAAATCAGTACAATCACTAACTTGCCTTTGTACTTATTATTTTATGGTATAGATGAATGTTACTGATCGATTTGATTCTTCTCAGAGGGTGCTGCTCTTTAATGAAAATAAAAATTATAGCTAATGGTTTTTCCTCAAACTCCGCTTCCTATAACCAATCAGTATTTTAATGTTTGTGTGTTCTTTATAAAATTTAAATGTAATTTGTTACTGAATTCTGTTTCCAATATTAGCATCTATGTAAACATAATAGTATAACCATTTTTTCATGTGAGTATAAATTAAATAGTATTAAAAAATAAAAAGGGCCGGGCGCGGTGGCTCAAGCCTGTAATCCCAGCACTTTGGGAGGCCAAGACGGGTGGATCACGCGGTCAGGAGATCGAGACCATCCTGGCTAACATGGTGAAACCCTGTCTCTACTAAAAAATACAAAAAATTAGCTGGGCGACGTGGTGGGCGCCTGTAGTCCCAGCTACTCAGGAGGCTGAGGCAGGAGAATGGCGTGAACCCGGGAGGCGGAGCTTGCAGTGAGCTGAGATCCGGCCACTGCACTCCACCCTGGGCGACAGAGCGAGACTCCGTTTCGAAAAATAAAAATAAAAAATAAAAAAAATAAAAAAAACAGATTGTAACAAAGTCTGTAGTCATCCATGGATGCAAAGATTCTGCTTTGTACCTTAAGTTTGAGCTAGCATGATAATGTTTCCACTCAGAGTAATAACTAGGAATCAAAGCCTCCACACTCCTCCCACCTCAAGTCTCCTCTCTAGATTTTATCTGTAACTCTGTCCTGATGCTGCAGTTTTTCTGCCTCCCATTCGGACTTTCCTTGAAAGTCATCTTTCCTTCTGTAATCATTATTCAACGCTTTCTTAAGTACCAGGCACCCGAATTAACTATATGAACACAGAGCACTGGCCCTTAGTAAATGCAGCCTAAGAGAGAGATACACGTACCAATGATTATCACACAACTTTGTGTGTCACCGTAGGGGAATGGGCACAGGGAGGTGTCAGGGAGGTCTTCACAGGGTCAAAATTTCAGCTGCAACTTGAGAAGAGAGCATGAACATCTACTGTCC